TGTCCTCGACCCTAGTGCCATGGTCTTTATCATAGCAGTATGTAAGGAAGTCACTTCCAAACATTTGCTCAAATAAATTATTGATTACTTGAACCCAAGTTTTCATAGCTCCTGTCCAAGATCTCATTTCATGACCAGCACTTTTCCAGCCACATCCACGGTAGGTAAATGTTTTCTTTCCTAAGAATGAAAAAAAAAAACAAAAACAAAAGAAAAGATAGTGATTGAGGGAGTGAAAACCATACCTGTTTCGAATTAACATTGCATGCTAGCAAATGCTAATGTTACACAATTATGTCACAAACTTTGCATTGAGATATACGTGTAATTAAATTCAGTGTTTATTTACTTGGTTTCCTTTTATCTCCATGTGTAAAATGCACACAAGGAGTTAATCTATTGACGTAGTATTACAAAATATCCATGGCACATAATTCGGTTTTTAATACTTACTGGCAATAATGCAATTTTCAGCTTGTTGGAATGAATATCTCAACGACAGCAGCATGGTTGCATACCAATGCGTGAGAATTTGATTCACTATAGGAAGAGAAAATGTTTTCAAACCCAATTTATTTGATATTACAACTTATTTTACTTTCATTTAAACTTGATTCTATATCATTATGGCCTCAACAGACACTCTAGGGAGTATTCAGAAATAAAAGTGACTGAAACTAGTGTGACTGGACTATAATAAGTAAAATAACTATAATTAATACTGATAACAGTTATGATAATGATGACAAGGATGATGATAATAATACAGTATCTTGTAACTCACATGACTGGCCAGGTCCAGATGAATCATGATTTGTTGCCTTAGAATACAATTGTCTGTGTAGCTTGTGAGAAGCCTCAAATCCTTGGCCAGAATATTTATAGAAGGACCTAAAGTGCCGTAGGAGCATAGCACTGTGATCTATGACAAGGTGCCCATAATCACCAGTGCCAAGGTGTAGTCCAAATAGCTTTTTCAACAAAAAGCCCCACTCCTTGCACTAGAGAGTATAGCAAAAGAAAACAAGAATGTAATAAGAAATTAAATTATCAAAGATGGGTAACCCTCTCTACCTGTAAAATTTTTAACTGTATACACAATAATTTTGACACTACAGAAAAGCATGTAGTTTTTGACAGTAACATACAGCTTTAGCATTCCAGTGTAGAAAAGCTATGGTTGAAATTATTTTCTATCAGCCTATTAACCTTGTTGGATTTAGTAAGAGTAACTGATCATTCCTGAATATTTCTGCACAAACCAGTTTCATACCTGTCAAGTCTAGATGCAATGCTTAAAACAAAAATGGACTTAAACCACTGTATGTATTGAATAACTTAGTTCATAAAGGTGATATCCTACCATTTTCAGTTAATTCAAACAAACTCAAGAAAAGTTTAAGCAAGTGTGTATATGGACCAAGGGCTATGGCCACAACAGCTTCGTAAGAGAATAATAATTGTTTTCAATATAAAAAATAATACCTTCACATCATGGATATCAATCAATTGCTCTTCATGGTCTTCGAACACTCTGTCACGCATTGTGTGGGCAATTTCCCTCCAATCACAGCAAACCTGACAAGTATTACATGGTAATAGATGTCCAACAGTAGCAATTAAATAATGAAAGAATGAAGGATGCGAATGCAACCATAACACTACTGGAAAAATGACATGAAAAAATTTCAGCTGAGTATTATGTCCACTGAACATATAGGGCCCAACCCACACACGACCGCTCTCATGTGGCTTTGACAGCTCAGTTGGTAGAGCATTGCAACAGTAATGCAAAGGTCATGGTTTCGAATCCCATTTAGAGCCTGAAATTTTTTCAGCTAATTTTTCCAGTAGTGTTATGGCTGTATTCGCATCCTTCATTCTTTCATCAGTTAAGTATTAGTCAAATAAAGTTACAACTGCTGCAGTTAAACTTTTTGTTTCTTCACAAATAAAACTGCTAATCTTTCAGTTGACAATGTTGGTTATTGAACAACACTGATTTTCCAGTCAGGCATTTTTATAAGTGAATGACTCAATTGAGTGTATGCAACCTACTTGCATGTCAAAGTTAGCTACAAGTTTACCTTGACAAAAAATTCAATTTGAAGTTGGGCTGCATAATTTGCGAAGGGATCAGTGTGGTCTTCCATGAGTTTTTTCTTCTTCCCTCTTTTCCTCTTCTTGGGTAGGGGTTCCTCATTGCCACACTGTTCTTCCAGCTCCAGGAATCTTTCTTCGACTTCTTTTTGTCTTTTAATCCAGTTCTCCTTTAGGTTCTCCAAGAACACTTTAAGTTCTTACAGCCAAAAACAGAAAGAATCCAACAGATTGTCAGTGTAAGCATTTAATGGGAATATAATGGACCAATTTGTTGTAGTCTGGAGCACCCCAAGGTTTCCCTGATTATGTTTGTTTCCAGCCATTCATAGCCTTGGGTTGAGAGACAGATGACTTTATGTGGGTAAAGGTTCTTGCATAAAGGATTTACATCAAGATTACAATGTATGAAATTTACTTTAAATAATTATAATAATAATAACTTTATTTAAGTGTCAAATGTATTTAGCACTATTAAATGTGCTAATTGGGGCCACTGTAAATAAATAAACAAATATTTCAAATGTAACATAAACTACAGTCCAAACTCTGGTTGCGACCACCTCTCGTAAGCAATCACCTCTCCTCAGCGACCAGTTTTCCAAAATACCAAAAGTTTCCAAGTCAAATCGGTATATTTGAAACCTCTTTTTAGTGAGTGCGACTACTTTTAGAGCTAAAAGTTTGAAATTTTCCTTTGTTTTTAACCTCCGGTAAGCAACCATTTGACAGATAGTAGAGCATAAATTGGATAAGGTGTTGTAGCATTATCTCAATTTCTCAATGGGAAGAACCAGATGTTTTTCTCGAAATTGACTTTCACATGAATAAAACATTGCATCGGCATTCGTTCATGGGTTAAGTCTCGGCAGTTATCATATTCTAATGAGGAAAACTTTTGACCCATTATGGTCTAAGCTCTCATAAGTGACCACCTCCCATAAGCGACCACCTAGGCTTCACATTTTGGGTGGTGGCTTACAGGAGGTTCGACTATATTAAGAATCCCAACTGGTAAGGAAACCTTAAAATAATAGTTTCCCAGGGTAAACAAACATCAAATAGGTAGGAGTAATCCAAGACATAGGTGGTCAAGCATGAGGGAAATTCAATTTGATTACAAATGAAATGAGAAACTTGAAAATTTAGGCAAAGAAGCCTTGACTGAACTGTAGCTCCATTAAGAACAATTTCAGATCTTGAGAAAGTTATGAATATTGAATAGGCTGATGAGTAAATAAAAAATTATTAAGTGAACAATTTATAAATATAGTAAGCTAATGAGCTTCGTTGAGATGTCCTTTCACCTTTTGTGTCATCGAGGTCAATTGTTTCTTGCCGCACACCATAGTCTCTAACAAAGGTTCCCCGGTCGAGTATCTCATCTACAAACTACAAATAAGGACATTGTTAATTACATTGTAAGTTTTTATTGTAAAGCATAATTATTTATTCCCTTACAAGTCATCTCAACCCAACCTGAAATTATGCGTATTAAAATGATATAAAGCATTAAATTCTGCTCAGTAACGTAAGATATTTAAAATCTTGCTACATGTATGAGTTAACCCACCGATATCCTCTGTTCAAAAAAGGTGACATAGTTTAGCAGAACGTCTCTTGCAGCTCCAGAACATTCCTCATAGTAATGGGCAACTTTCTCAAGGGGGAGTGACCTTGCTACAATTTCTTCAAAGTTTTTAAGAACTTCTCTCTCCATCGAACCTGATAAAGAATTTACCTTGACTTTAAATACCGACCACCAAACTTGCATCAGTGTCATAAAATGGCACAAGTATGTATACTACTCCATGACCTTCACATTGCAATCGGAGTGAAAATTGAAAAAGTTGTTTCCTAAGACTGTATGCAATTATGTTCACAAAGTTATAAATTATGTTCACTCTGTAAATGGGTTCATTCATTTGGCATATTCCTGACAGCATTACATTGGTGATGAACAATAGATTAAAGGACTGATGACAGTACCTGAAAAAGATGCAACATGTATATTTTGTCTCTCTATTGCTGTTTGTTGTCCTTTCCGTTCTTTAACTGTTACTCTAGGAAAACCTCTACAGTTTTCAGGCCCATAATCAGACAAGGCACCATTCAACTTGTCCAGGGTTCCAACTCGATAGGCAAACAAACCCAATGAGCCTAGAAGCTGCTCACAATTTTGCATCTCACAATGTAGAGAGCAAAGATTTATGCTGCTCAAGTCTTCCTCCAGAAGAAAATTGAGATCATCCCGAAGGCCTGTACCCCTGAAAAAGAGCAAAAATACACACTCAGTGGCTTACGTTGAACCTGGAAATTTCCATTATTTTATATTTACCAGTCAGTTGTGCTCACAACACCCTCACCTTCCAATGTTAGCTTTTGATCTTAAACAATCCAGGCATGTCTCATCCACAGCAACTCCATGGCAAGTGCAAGCCTAAAATAAAGTTATGGACAATAGAAATATTGACCTCATTTAGAATGCTGGAAAAAACATAAAATTTTTCCACAAAGAGCTAAAGAGCTACTAGATAATGATATCTATTTTCCTTGTCTTAACATTCAGTGTTTACTAGGATTACAAAAATAAAAGTATTTTATTGATGATAATAGTACTAATTTATAACTGACATGATTGATACAGATAGTCACTGAACCCTATACTAAAATGCAGTTTACAATTCAAGTAAGTGTTAATTAATGCAGTTACCATCAAACTACATGTAAATATATAAAACCTTACCCTTATTGCATCACAAAATGCACAACACTGCACTCCATAGCCCTTGCCACCAAGGAGGAAATCCTCATCGTCTTTTTTGTTTAGGAGAAGCAGCAAAGCCTTGTAGTCCAGAGTCACTTAAGGTCGTATAAGGGGAAACAATTCATAACACATGCTAATGAGGCAAAACAATATCCAAGGACCATTTCACATACTGTATAAGTTTGTCCAATTTCCTTATGAACCAGTGGTATTAATGTTGATATAACCCTATTTAATGGCAGGATTGTTATGATATTTAGAACAACAGCAAAATGTTACTAAAGGTACTGAACAGTGCCATAAATATTAAGGTAATTATCAAACAATATTTGCCATCGCTTTTTTTGCACAATTAATTGATCCCTGTAAAAAATTATGAGATAGCTTTAACTTAGTTTTTCTCCCAAATAAACACAAATAATGTCCCATTAAATAAATAACAGCATTTCAAAATTCATTCCCTTTCTCATCAGTCTGGTTTAAATCACTATTTACATGTACCTGTGAAAGAGATGTTGTACTTTTTTCCATCCACAACAATGCCATGTTTTTTTATCACATTCTTCTGGCAATTAAGATTTCTAATCAATTGCTTTAGATTTGCCCTAATATAAGAATAGGGACAAAAATAAAAAATGTTAAACGTCACCTTAATTGAAAGAAGGTAATAAACAGAAAAAAATGTATTCATCACAAAATTCAACTAAAGCTGCTCATGAAAGAAAGGGAACTCTTTTTATCTAGAGTTTCTACTACATCTTAAATAACTGACTGAGAAATACATGTATAAATGTTTCTTTTCTTTACAGCAACATCTCATTGCCTACTTT